CTGCTGTGGTCCACACTCTAAAGATTTGGAGGCACTATCCGTTGGACAACAAAGTATATATCTTTACAGATTACAAGAGCCTCAAGTATATTTTTACTTAGTCTAAGCTAAACATGAGGTAAAGGAGATGGTTAGAATTGATAAAGGATTATAACTTGAAAGTCCATTATCACCCAGAAAAGGTCAATGTAGTGGTTGATGCTTTGAGCCGAAAGTCACACCAGGTTGAGGAAACAACTTTGCCTCTCAACCATGTAGAAGTGATGGCTCACATTGCCTTGACCTCAGAGTTGCTTGAGCAGATTATTCTAGAGCAAAAGCAAGACCCAAAGAAATTCCCCACATCAAAAAATTGATGGCCGAGGGGCGTGGCCCTCACTTTAGTGTTGATGAGCATGGAGTAGTGAGATACAAGGATAGACTGGTGGTTCCATCCAATGAGGAGCTGAAAAGGAAGATTTTGAATGAAGCCCATCATTCAAAGTTGTCCATTCATCCTGGCAGCAACAAGATGTATCATAATCTGCGCCACTTGTACTGGTGGTCCAAAATGAAGCAGGACATCACCCGGCACGTCGCAGAGTGCGACACTTGTGGTAGAGTTAAGGCAGATCATATGCATAATCTAGGATATCTACAGCCCTTGTCCATTCCTATTTGGAAATGGGATGATATTTCCATGGATTTCATTATGGGTTTACCCCGCACCTCCAAGGGCTATGACTCTGTTTGGGTCATTGTGGATCGCCTCACCAAGTCAGCTCATTTCCTCCTAGTGCATTCTACTTATTCTGCCAGACCATATGACGAGTTATACTTGGAGTGGATTGTGACCCTACACGGAGTTCCCCTTACTATCATATCTGATAGGGGATCAGTTTTTGTCTCTCGCTTCTAGGAGCAGCTCCAGGAGTGTCTTGGAACTAGTCTCCTCCGTAGTTCAGCATATCACCCTCAGACAGATGGCCAAATTGAAAGGGTGAACCAGGTGCTCGAGGATATGTTGAGAGCTTGTGCCATTTCCTTTCCTGAGAAGTGGGACGGGTGCTTGAAGCTAGCTGAATTTTCTTACAATAATAGCTATCAGGAAAGCATCCGCATTGCACCATTTGAAGCTCTATATGGGAGAAAGTGTAGGACACCACTCAACTAGGTTGAAGTGGGAGACCATGGATACTTTTGGCCTGATCTCATCAAAGAGGCTCGAGGGCAAGTCATCATTATTCGAAGTCATTTGAAGGCAGCTCAGAGCCGACAGAAAGCCTATGCGGACAAGCAAAGAAGGCCCTTGGACTTTGTAGTTGGGGATTATGTGTACCTCAAGGTATCTCCTATGAGAGGAGTACATCGGTTTGGTATCCATGGCAAGCTAGCTCCCCGATACGTGGGTCCTTACAAAATTTTGAGGCAATGTGGCCCCGTTGCTTATCGTCTCCAGCTTTCTGAGATTTTATCTGCGGTACACAAGGTGTTTCATGTATCGCAATTGAAGAGATGTTTGCGGGTACCGAATGAAGTTGTAGAAGTTGAAGGACTACCACTCCAGCCTAATTTGACTTATGTTGAGCACCCTGTCAAAATCCTGGATGAGAAAGAAAGAGTGACTAGAAATAGTGTGGTAAAGTTCTACAAAGTGCAGTGGTAAAACCATTCAGAGGATGAGACCACGCGGGAACAAGGGAGATATATATTGAAGCATTACCCCCACCTTCTCTCTAGTTCAGATAGTTAGTTGTTGCGCCAAGATGTATTTCCTATCTCCTTCTCACACTAGGCACATGAAATCTCGGGTCGAGATTTTGTTTTAGGGGGGTAGATTTGTAACACCCTCGGTGTTACACTATTTAGTTGTTGCTAAAACACTGCATGAGCATCATACTTGTGTGTAAATGTGTGTAATATAGAGTATAAATTGATGTATGGCACTTGAAACGTTCATCTGAAACAAGAAACAAATGTTACATTTCATGTCGCTTTATATCGTTTAGTATTCTAAGTGAATTTTTATCGAACAAAAATGCTATAGAATGCTTATGCGAAACGTTGATAAAGTTCATAGTACGAACTTCGTAGGCGATGATAAAATACGTGCGGTCGAGGACGGGGTTCGCTAGCTAGTGTATCAAGTAGCTTGGAAAAGGAATTCGATGCGAAACCGTTTGAAGTTTAGTCATTTCGCGTAAGTCGGAAAATGGGTCGACGAAGCCATGTTCGACAAATTTCATAGAACGATCAGGTTAAGAAGTGGCAAGATGTTTTGGCTTAGTTCGATAGCCCTATGTACCCTCTTGAGGATAGAATAACTGTTTTGTCTTTTGGATCACCGGATGGGTTTTTGTAGCAGCTTTAAAAAGCGTGCACGACACGTTTTCCATCTCTGGGCACGGTCACCACCTTTGCTCGGCCTGGCCTGCCCAGCGCGCGTTGCCGCACTAGCCACGTCCCCACTGCCGCTCTGATGCAAGCACGCCCGCACGCGTGACCCCTACACTGCTGACCACGGCCGCCTGCCACCACGCGGTGCGCGCAGCTCGCACCGCTGCTGCTACCGTTGTCGCGTCCTGGCTACCTACCCGCGCGCTGCCCTCGCACTGGCCGGACTTGCCGTCGGGCCTCGCACTGTAGCTCGCGCTATTGTTGCTGCGCCTGGCACGCCACGCACACACACGCACGTGCGCGCACTACATCAGTGGACCTGAATGCTTTGCCTCGCCATCGCGTCGCACTGCACCCCGGTCGCGCTGCACACCGTCCTTTGCTACTGCGTGGTACTGCTCCTGTTGACCTACCACAGCTACACCCACGTGGGCCGATCGCCTAACTTTGTCGTCACGCCGTGTTCGCTGCCACGCTACACCGTTGTTTGTCCTGGGCCTGCCCGCCTCTATGGCGCGCGGCGCCAAGCTGCCGTTGGCTCACGTCCTTGCCAGGGTAACCAAGCGTCTTGAGCACGTCCCAATGTTCCCCATCGCCATGCACGCTTGTACGGTGAGTTGACGGCCACGTTCCTCCACGACAGCGCCGATGCCTAACCTTGCCTCCTTACCCTGTCTTCGCTGTCGCCATGGTCGACGGGCCCACTCCTTTCGATTCATCATGATGGCAGCACCATGGTCCAATTAGTCGCGTCCTCGGCTTCGCTGGGTAGCCAGCCACCCAACCGACCCCACCTTCCTGCTTGTATGCCTCAATTTGGAGCTGCCGCCCTACCGGGTCCTTAAGACCGGGTTGGCATGCGCCGTCGGCAATCCACTTATCTAGAGCATCTCGTGGCAATTCCTTGCACTACCGGCCTCGTCTCCACCTTCCTAGCACCCTGCGCACCTCGGCCGAAGCGCTACCGCAACCCAGCCTTCCCTGACGTGGCCGTGCCATCGCCGTGCGCGGCTGCACCGCCCGTGCGCACGCGGCCAGCTCGGCTCGGGCCGTCTCTGATCGAACCACCGCCTCGAGTGGTTTCGTGGTGTCACTCGAGCTCACTAGCTACCCCTTTTGCCCCGGCTTTGCTGTCATTCATCGAAACGCCACTGCCGTGGCTGTAGGGTCTCCGCCACCGTGGTCCGACCTCGCTGCTACGTCCCGGCTCACGCTTCCTTCATCCGGCACTTCGTGTTTGCTCCTAGGTAAGCATCGGTCCCATAGTTAGGGCAGGGAGGGGCGGTGCTCGCCGTCATAGCCGCCCGGTGCCAGCGCCGTCGCGCCGGTGCGCGCGCGGGTGCCCAGGGGGTGTCGCTGTCGTGAAGGTAGGAAGTTCTAGGGGCGTAACTATAAGATGGTAGACTAGCGGAACAGTGCGCTTACCGCTCGCAGGATTACAGAGTAGTTTGAGGGTGCTTTTGCATATTGACCGACGCGCGCGGGTCCTCCCCGCCGCGAGCCGTCGTCCGGCTGGACCACGCCCTCGCGTGGGCCGCGCCGTGCGCACACGCATTGCGCTAGGTTGGGCCGAGCCGCTCATGTTGGGCCACGAGATAGGAATTCTTTTTTATTTTTCCAGTAAATTCGTGAATGTTTATTCAATATTAGTTTGAGCTGAACTTTAATAAATTATAGTAAATCTTGTAGATGTCCAAAAATATTAAAACCAAGTTTGTTAGATTCACAAAAATACCATCCACCTGTTAGTGTAATTAGATTACAGATAGCTGTGACAATGGTAGGTTCATAAATTCAAACTAGATAGCTTAGTATTATATTGAAAGGCCACAATTTGACATCTTCTTGTACAGATTCGTCGCTGAATCGGCGGCCGATTAGTCGCTTCACTTCTGTGAATATTTAGTCGTGTAGTCAATAGAGCGAACCATAAATGGCAAAGCAGCAGTAGTTTGTTCTATGCGTTTGAAAAATATTCTGCAAAGTAATAAAGGTTTGATTGCCATACGACAGATATTAGGTTTGGTCCTACAAACACTGTAATTTTCCATCATCTCCAGTTCAAAAGAATTAATGCCGAGACCTTATATTAACTTTTTCATGAAATCATGATTACATTATCTCAGTTGTCATGTTTTATCCTTCAATCCTTGGTATATACTTGATCCACTTCATATGCAAGAATTCAGTGAGATGTTTTGAAAGAAAGGTGTGCACTGCACATCATGAGACGAAATTGAATCTAGTAATAGTGATAGTGATAGTGATTAATGATTATACAGAAACTAAACAGCCGCGCAGGAGACAGTAAGTCACCGCAAAACGAAGTTAAAAAATGCCAGAACTATAATGTGAACATGCAGGCAGAGAAATTTAAGAGGCATGCTTGTTGCAAGGACATGAACGAACTATTGCGCCTGCTTGTGGTTGAATAATAAACATTGCAGCTGAGATGATGGAGCGGCAAACTCTATATGCTTCCTATTTCCAAACAGTTGATAGATCTGTTCATAAACATTGCACTCAATCTAGCTACGTACCTACGTAGGCACAGTTGATAGATCTGTGACGCAAATTAATCAGCGCGCGAGTCCACACGCGTGACGATCGAAGAAAATAACAAGTTATATAAGCGACTGATGAAACAGCTGGTGTGTATAGTTCTCACCGAAGATGGTGTTGGTGGGGTTCAAGGCGGCCTGGTTCACCGCCGCCTCGCCAACGAGCCTCTCGGAGATGGTGAACGCCACGCACGACGGCGTGAGGCGGTTGCCCTGGTCGTTGGCGATGACCTCGCCGCGGTCGTGCCGCCAGACGGCCACGCAGGAGTAGGTCGTCCCCAGGTCGATGCCGATCGCCGGCCCGTCGACCTTCGAGGCCGCCATCTCAACAGTCATAGGAGAGCAAAGTAGAAAGTACTCGGAATTTATGGTAGTGCTACTAGCGCACGGGGTGTGCGTATATGCGGAATAAATGGATGCCGCTTCGATACATGTGCGTGCTAGGGCAACCGTCCTCTCCACGATTTCTTTGGCTGGGCTTTTCCTTAAAAGGCCGTCTATCTGGTAGGTGCGGCACCCTCGAATCCAAACTATCATCACAATCTAAAACAAAAAAGGAACTACCCGGGATCAATCATCCCACTATCGACTATAGGTACAGGCGTACAGCCCATTATTAGAGATCAAATGTGCTTTTTTTTTCTTTTTCTTTTTTCCCAATACTTTCAACTAATTCATCACTTATTATAAATAAAATAAAAGACAATAATGATAGTTATGTTTATTCAAACATTAACAACAAATTGTTTAAACAATTTGCGAGAACAATTCTAACAGTTTTTTTTTAGAGTATCAATTCTAACAGTTAGGAAGGAAAGTTCTAATACACAAAATGCACGGAGGCTGTGGGGCAAGCAAGGAAGAGGGCAGCGCTTTCCAAAGGCTAGGCAACAAACACAGTAACGAAGGATCTGCCAAGCCGGGTCTTCCACACATAACTCCCAACAAAGGAGTGCTCAGGGTCATTTCATTCCTTTTGTCTATTATGAGAAGCTGTTTTGCTAAACGTGTCTCAAAATGGCTTCGACTCCACCTGTAGAGCTGTTTGTGGAGCTAAAGCAAAAAAAAAACGACTTCACTGGTAAAGTGAAGCCGTGCCAAACGACGCCTTATTAATTACCTTGCCACTTCCTAAAAGTACATCGTCGTTGTTATCGCATTGGATGATTAGTGCTACTTTCATGCAACTTATATCGTGTTATACATGTAAATGACCGTAGCCTATTAGCAGGAGCTCTTAGTTTATGGTACATGGTTTAATTTAATAGTTGATATTGAAGTAACCTTCTACTACCTCTGTTGGATAATCTACATCTGGAGTACCAATTTTATCTCGGTGGTGGATTCAGCGCTGTCTGCACAAAGATCTATCTTCGTGAAAACATGGTACACCACCAAGAGTGATTATTCCATCATTTAAAACGAGGAAAATGCTCATTACATGGCCCAACAGATCAACCAACCAAAACTGGAACCGGGCAAAAACTGCAATTCACAAGCTAACAAGCAACAGTAAAACTTACACAGCTCAAAAACATAATATCCAAACAGGCACTATAGACAGAAAACATAACTGTGATGTGCCTTCATAGGATGAGAAGAAAACAGTATCAATATACTGCTGATATATATTACTGTTTGACATAGAATTATTTGCTGGCCATTGTCCAATCTATGCAAACACATTAATGCCCCATTTCAGCAAAGCTACTTTGAAGAAAATAATTGTCTTCCTGAACTTCAACACAAGGCAGTAAAGCTTGATGAGGAAATGATCTGAACATCACTGCACCTAGAGGAACTTGCCTCGCCCAAGTCGCTGGAGATGGTAATTGATGGTCTTCGCTGCGTTCTTTGGCCTCCCCTTCTGCAATGACGTCACAAGCAGGCGTTAGGAGCAGAAGAATTGCTTGCTTAACGCTTTGACAAAACAAAGTATAAGGATGACAAAACAATGTCTAAGGATGCAAAACACAAGTAGTGATGTGGATAATAATAACCTGTGTCTGAGTGCATTGAACCAAAAGATCCTTCTGCCTGATGCACTTGTCATCATTCTGTTTGTTTAAGGCCAGGCAATTGAGGAAGGCCACCATTTCTGGCATGCACGGCTTCGCAACAGCACCAAACTTCTTTGGGTTTATGTACAAAGCACCAGCCTTCCGACCCATTCTGCTGATTCACCTTCACCTTCATGGATTTGACCAATATGTGTTATTAGCTCAACAGCATGCAATGTGAATAGCCATAAATCCCACCTCAGCACCACAATACACACAGAAGAGAAATAATTCAAAGGAGCAACAACTCAATGTGGGAGATGAAATGTTTGAAGAAAACCTCGGGTAAAAGTAGAACGAACGGTGCTTGAATACATTTGCAATAAATATGTGTTTACTAGCTTGGCATGGACTATATGAACATCACGCGTTATCCAGTTTAAGCATACTGATTTGAACAGCAGAAAGCAATCAAAACATCAGTCAATGTGATTCTCACTACAGGGACCAATGTCTTAAGTATTAGAAGCTTTAAATGGATAGAGCAATTGTAGACGAATACGAGTATGAAGCTGAACGCTAGCACGCAAGCCTGCGTACGGCGAGGTGTGACTAATTTCCTTCGCCGAAGCATTCGGTCGAACAGGTTGCAGGCGCCAGCAAATTTGTCCCAACAAGCTGAAACACCTCAACACCGCAGAAGAGACAACCGAGCAGCGGTGAAGAGTAACGCTCCGGCACAGAGGTGGAGTCCAGCCTCACGGTAGGCTAAGGTTGACAGGCGGATCAGATCTACCTCTGCCGAGTGGCAGCCGGAAAACCCCGTGGGTGGGGATTCTTACAGCGGCGGGGCGAAGCACCGATCCGGAAGTGTAAGCCATGACGGAGAAAGGGAGGAGAGGTGAAGGGACCGAGACGCGTACCTGGAGGAGACTGCGACGGGCAGACGGCCGGCAGCGACGACGAGGGTGCGAGAACTGGAGAGGCGGCGTTCTTGAGATCGTACGAGCAGTTTCTGGAAGGTGAGGTGGACCGTAGATATCCAAGTTGGGCTGAAGTGACTTGAGGTGAGTGGGCCTTATTCTTAAGAGACGGTGTTGCGAGGGAGCGTTCACAGCCCATTGAAGTCACTGAGGAAGGAACATTACAGGGAGGCCCATATTTGCGTCTTCACTTTTTTTGTATTATATGAAAAAAATCTGCTGCAACGCACAGGAAAATTATTTTACGTTTACCAACGTTTCCAAAAAAAATATGATGAACTCCCGTACGAACCAAATCGTTTTACGTCCCAGTGGGAATAGTATAGGGCCAAAACCTCGGACAATCTCCAGGGAACAACTGAAGTCTCTGATTATCATCGGTTGTTGTACAGCCGTGGAAGTGATGAAACAGCAAGAGTACATGTATCATGTAGGCATGTAGCGATCTCTATCATGTATGATCTCAAATCACTTTTGAATTGAACTTTCCAGTTGCAAGTATACAACAACACACCTGTATGTATGCCTACTGCCGCAACAACCAGAAACATTTCATCAAACTTTGGCCTCTGAACACTACCCTCCAAAAAAACTAAAAAAAAAACTGGCTACCATGTAAAATGAGTGTTATTTACACTGTTTAGGCCTGAAGTTATCAGGTTCCAAAAGTTTCAACAACAACTTCTTCTCTAGCTTAGCCGAGCCTTTGGTCGGCCTGAGAATAAAGGACCTTCCCAAGAAGGTACACGGATCTTTCCCGCCTACTGAGCTACCCAAGCACCATCCACCCGGGGTGAAGCGGTCAGGTGCTCGGCCCAACAACTTGGCGTCAATCATATCCAGGACTGAATTATCATTGGCAAAGGAGTGTGCAAATGGCGCCCCGCTGTTTGCCATTGCATCAAAATGCTCTGTTGTGAGGTTAACAGGGTGCGTCCGAGGGGGGTTATCCCAAGCCATGAAACGCAGATCACTGTTGACAGTGGTGTTCTGGTAGTACTCTGAGTTGCAGATCACTGTGTGGAAGTAGCCTTCTGAGGATGAGAGGAAGTTGGTGAAATACATCAGTAGTGTGCGAGGAAGGTTGTCCCATCCCAATAAGCAAAACTCCAGGAATGATCGACTAAGCATCACCCAAGACGAACCTGTACCAAAGGAGTTGTAATCATTAGAAGTAAAATTTACAAGAAAACAGCATTGCCTTAACCACAATAGAAAGGATAAAGACTCAACTAAACTTTGATCAAGAAAATGCTTCTCAACTGTTCTACTAAGGACGAAAAATACCCAACAATATAACCAGGCCGAGTATTCATGATGTCAGTTGCCAAAATTGCAGGTGAAACAATGATTGAGAAGGCAATCAACATCATAAAGATAATCAGGCAGCATTCTGAAAGATCTTAACCAACACATATATCAGCAGTAGGCAATATAAGATATACATACATGTTTCACCAAAAAACCATCTACCTAAAGGATGCAGTATGCTGTGATGCAACATCTTATCATGCAAGGTGATTTCATCAAGGATTTTTGTACAGCTTGGCTCCATGCAGTTACTAGTTAATTGCCTTTTAAAAGAGTTTAGAGGTATCTTTTTAATATGTCAGATATAAAAACTACTCCACAAACACCAAATAACTTCACTGTAGCATTTAGACAGACCCAAATTGGTATGACCGATAATTTCATAACCATCTAAGTAAACATCGCCATGACCCATGACAATTGACATCTATGTTGTCTAATAGATGGAACACACAAATTATCACAAGTTTGCTTAAAGAGATTCTTCTGGAGTGCATAAAAGACAACTAGGCAACATTGCTACAGCGAACCGTTCTCTGCTACAGGGCATTGAAATTGACCATTTGATCAGTCAAACAGAGATTCAGTAGTCAGTAAAGATGTCAGACAGTACCTACAAATATTTTGAAAGCTGAGGGCATACTCCTTTTCTCCTTTGTTGTTACAACCTCAGTTTTATTTGGGACCTGCAATGCTGGATCTACAATAATTGGTCGGGCTCTTTGGTGCCTGCACATGCAACCCAAGAATAATAATAAAAAACAAAAAACGAGGTTAAGAATTAAGAACCACAGAACATTGGAATGATATGCTTACTCTTTCCAACCAATATTGCTTGTGTGCTCAATGAAATTGAGGTCTCTTGGCATGTATGAGAAGATATGAAGGATGTCTGATAAATATAAGGGAACCAACATAAATATTAGTTTCGATAATTGGGAGAAAAAAATCAATCAGATCTTAGAGCACTTCAAACAATTGCTGTACTACAAATCAACATATTGGGTGAAGGTTTGTAAGTTTTTTTTTTTTTGAAAAATTATGCATAGATATTGACAGCCTTAAGAATTTTGAGCAGGTCCAGAAGCTTAAACAACTTCCGTTCTGCATCCAGTCCTTCAAACTCACAAAAGTATTATTGATATTGAGATCCAGCATTTACTGTTCTTCATAATTTGTTGTTGTCGCTTAGGTTACACATCAAGATGGACCCAACTGTGATGGACTCGATTCTCTGGCTGCTGTCATGTTATGAAGTAAAGTTGATTAACTTGGTAGTTGATACAATGCTAAAGCTCAGTTGAAAGGTTATAAGGGACAATATTGAGCAAAGAATGGTGTTCCCGGAAGTGTTAAAAAATGACCCCCAAACAGCTGAATTTGATGCTACTAGATCTGTTTGTTAGATAGTACTGGATGATATTTCCACAGAATTCAAAGAGTAGCCTATACCTATTCAGTTTATCTGTCTATTTGTGGTGTCTGTGGCATAACAACTTGCATCGGAATTAGAAAAGCTGACAATCCCATCCATGTATGTAATTTTACTATCTATATCTATTGAAGTGGCGGCAAGCATCTGGTGTCCTATGTGACAAAAGGGTACCACAGAAGCTAAAAGGCAAGTTTTATAGGACGGCGATTAGACCTGCTATGTTGTATGGTGCAGAATGTTGGCCTACGAAAAGACGACATGTTCAACAGATAAGTGTCGCGGAAATGCGTATGTTGCGTTGGATTTGCGGTCATACAAGAAGGGATCGAGTTCGGAACGATGATATACGTGATAGATTAGGGGTAACACCAATTGAAGAAAAGCTTGTCCAACACCGGTTGAGATGGTTTGGACATGTCCAACGGAGACCTCCAGAGGCACCGGTGCATAGTGGAATCCTAAGCCAGGATAGTAACGTGAAGAGAGGCAGAGGAAGACCGAAGTTGATTTGGGTAGAGGCAATAAAAGGAGACTTGAAAGGATGGAATATACCCAAAGACTTAGCCTTAGATATGAGTGCTTGGAAGACACCTATCCACGTGCCTGAACCTTGATTGCTTCTGCTGGGTTTCAACTCTAGCCTACCCCAACTTGTTTGGGACTTAAAGGCTTTGTTGTTGTTGTTGTTGTTGTTGTTGTAATCATAAGCACTATTCAATACCCCACAATAAACAGACCAGAAGAGGTCATTACAATTCAAAACCTGTCAGGCTGCCACCATAGAGAATCAGCTAGCAGACCCCAGCTGGTGAAACACATAGGGAATTCAGAGAACAAATAAATTTCAAGTGTATAATGCTGTTCGCACAGAGCAGGAGCTCTCTGCACTGGGTACGCCCTTTATAATGCTGTTCGCTATGAAATTGCATGACCCAATAGTTCCTCAAATGAATGGAAGATGGAACCAGTCAGCCCAAAAACAGTAAACTCCTTCAGCTGGAATTTGAATAGAAAGCCTTTGACAAGTACTACTCGACATTATGTAACTATTATCCTTCTTGGCGACAGAGCATACAACAAATTTTATAGTACTCAAATATATCAAATTGCGATCACATGGTATGAGAAGAACTTGACACCATAAATTAAATCAAATGGCACTAATAGGGCCATTTTTTGGACACGTAATTCTGTAGTACGTATAAGGAAACCAAAAGTTGGTGTCATGCTGAAGCATAAACGCATTCATAGTTGCAAGTATAACAAGAAAATATCGTGTGGGCTAGAAGCTATCCATATCGAGGAGGGAGTAGAATTTTACCATCTTGGGGCATGAGCGGGTAATCGGAGGCGCTGAGGTTGATGAACCAGCTCCAGCCGTCGAACTCCCGGAGCAGCACAGCTGCGGCGTGGAGCGTGGCGCCCAATTCGGTGGGGCCCCTCCGCGAGACGGCGCCCCACTCCACCGCGGCCGCCACCCGGACGTTGCCGTACCGGCGCGGCGCCTCCTGGCCGCGCACGAAGGCCTCGAGATCCGCGCGCTCGTCCTCCCCCGCCACGCCGACGAGGTAGTAGTTCCACGGGTGGTAGAGCGCCCGCAGCAGCCTCCGGATCCGCGGGCCGTCCCCGGGGCCCGCGCCCGTGATGAGGTACGCCAGCCTCGGCGGCGCCCTCCGCTGCTGCTGCTGCTGCGGTAGCCGCGGCGCCGAGGACGAGGACGACGACGAGCGCGCCGTGCCGAGCGCCGCGTAGAGGATGGGGAGCGAGACGAGCGGGAGCGCGAGGAGCAGCGCGCGCATCCACCGGAGGCGGTGCGCCGGCGTCAGCCTCCTCATGGGTCGGGTGGACACGCCGCCCCGGGCGAGGCGCCGAGGGCTAGAGCTCCCGCGGCATTCGCTCGCTCGCCGGCGCGAGGCGTACCGCGGACGGGCAGGGGGGAAGGGGGCGGTCGGTTGCTTGCTGGCTCGGTGGCTGGTGGAGACAGACGGACAGAAGGCGAGATGCAAGTGAGGCTGAGGCCGCACCGCAGCGCAGCGCAGGGAGCAGGTTGGGCAGCGGCGTTTCGTGCAAGGAAATCGGGCGGGTTATGCGCCGGCGGTACGGTACGGGCGCGCAGCGTATGGCGTGTCGTAATAATTGCCTGCCGCCTCACTGGAGGGAGTCCCCCAAAGTCCAAACTCCAACCCAAGAGCTGAGTCGAGGGTTTCAGACAGAGCAGGGAGCAATTAGGCCCTGTTTAGATCCTACCTTAAATCTAAAAAATTTCAAGATTTTTTGTCACATCAAATCTTACGGCACATGCATAAAGCATTAAATGTAGGTAAAAAGAATAACTAATTGCACAGTTCAGATGAAATCCACGAGACGAATCTTTTAAGCCTAATTAGACTATGATTAGACACTAATTACCAAATAACAACGAAAACGCTACAGTAGCCAAAAGATAAAAAATTTCGCATCTAAATGGGGCCTTAGCAAGGCGAGTGGTTAACTAATCATGGTGTAGTTACGGGGACAACCCTCGTGATAAGCTGTAGATTACAGCGGAGGTTAAGAAGTTAATCTTCCTTTACTGAAGAAATCTACAATGCTAGTATCGATGGCTACAAAGGGCGAAGCAACGGCGTGCTGACCAGCCAAGTTTGATGGCGAAAGAGTCGGTGCATACGTGGAATTTCTTGTTGGAACAAACTTTCGCGATCAACGACAACAGGTGCCTAGGAGTACTCCTAAACTGGATCTCTGTTTGACTGATCAAATGGTAATGTCACTGTGCCAGCATCATCTGCAGACTGCAGTAGACCGCATTGGCTTGGCTGATTGGCCCGTGATCCACCGTACTAGCAAAGCAGGAGCTGCTCCCTGGTGGCCGGACCTCTGCTGCTCTGCACAGCACAGATCGTTTCGATTTGACAATATTTCAACGCTCTAGAGAGGCCTACGGCGTGAGCGTGCGGACCCTGGATGGAGGCATGGAGGCATGGAGATGGAGCGTTGCTTTGGAGAAAAAAAAAATTGGGTGTAGCCTCTGCACCTTGTTTCCGTGCAGGCCCACTCGAATAGAAGTTACGTGTATCAGAAAATCCATCACACGACCAGAAGGTGAAACCAGAAGGTGAAGCTTTTAATTGTCTATTTTTAGAGTTTCCTAATAAGTTTGGCGCCACACCTGAGCCATTGGAGGAGCCACACCACGCCTGACGGTGTAATAGATTTCTTGGGACGCGGCTTCTATCCGAGTGGCCCTGCATGGAGATGCCTGTGCAGGGAGGTCGTGTCTATTTTGGCTCTGTTCGCTTGAGCTTATAAGCCAAAGTCAATATTAAAAAAAACTATTCCGGCTAAAAAAAAAAGTTGAAAAGTACGGATTATAAAAGAAGCGAACAGGGCCTAAAAAGTTCTCATTTGTGCCCGAAATTCGTGATGAAAAGCGGCGACCTGACTAATTATTCGCTTGGTCGTATTTGGCTTATAAGCCATGACTTATCAGTCAACGAACAGTATTTTTCTCTCACACCAAACCAGCCAACAGTACTTTCAGTCATGGCTTATAAGCCAAACCAGCCCAAACAAACATGACTTATCTTTCTAGGAGCACACGCTTTCCACCCAACCAAGGCCATGTTTAATTCACCTAAAATCCAAACTTTGGCACTATGTAAAAAGAAGATTCTCCGACACATCAAACTTGCGGTACATGTATGGAGTACTAAATGTTGACGAAATCAAAAACTAATTACACAGTTTGGTTGTACTTTGCGAGACGAACGTTTTAAGCCTAATTAGTCAACGATTGGATAATTATTACCAAATACAAACGAAATGCTAAGTGCGCTACAGTGTCTACAGAAAATCCGGCGGCGTCAATTCCGTGGGCAACTAAACATGGCCCAACTCATTTATTCAGAGGTCATCTCAAAAGAAAACGAGAAGAACCTATTCAAATGTGCGATTTTTTAGAGCTCTTTTTATGCCCCATATAATAGAGTAGTAGTTCGGTTCAAAAAAAAAAGATTCAGGCGGGCATGTGGCGTCACTCCAAGATGCTAGAAGGAGATGACAGTCGTCCTGTTCGTTTAAGTTTATCGGGAACTACTCAATTTATTTTAAATTGTAAGATGTTTGACTTTTTAGACATCAAGTTTGACCATTCGTCTTATTTAAAAATTTGTGTAAAATATCATTTCTTTCGTCGTGGTTTGGTTTATTAATAAAAATTCTTCAAGAATGACTTAAATTTGACTATATTTGCATAAATTTTTTGAATAAGACGAGTGGTCAAACTTAGAGCCAAAAAAGTCAAACGTCTTACAATTTGGGATGGAGAGAGTACTTTTCAGTTATGAAACAGTATTTGTTTCTCACAACATTTTAGCATAAGCCAAATTTTAGCAACAGCGAACAGAGTGATTCATGATTTCGTCCATGATGCTACATCAAATCATGTACCGGTGCTACCAAGACAAGGTCATTAGCCTTTTTGAATAGTTTGTGCCCACAAGCCATTATTTGTGTACACTTCACTTCACAGCTAATAAAATTCGTTATCTAATGAACTGTCAACTGTGGATGACACTATAAATTGTAATATACTAGCATATCCAGCCTTAATGCCAAGCTCTGTTCCTCCTCTCTGGTTAACCTTTTCCGTGTCGTGTACGGTGACTGTACGCTGTACCAATTAAAAAAACTCGATCCGCGGTGGCTAGAGAGCTCCCGGTATTCCGGCCTCAGAAAAAGATTTTCTCACGCAGATCGAGAAAACGCTCGAACCTCTACCCTACCTATACACAGTGGCACCATAGCTTCATGAGATAAGCTTGCCACAGATCTATGCTTTAGACGTGGGACAGATAAGAAAGTTTTTTCTTCTCTCGGTCACTGCGGCCGAAGCCACCAATAGAAAGTGAGTCATTTAAGACTCAAACTCGGATCATGCCAAGAGAGAGGTACTGAGCCGATCACTCGGTCAGCCAGGCCGTTCCCTCGCTGTACCAATTAGATCATGCAAAGCTGGGACTGGGTGCGTGCAGAGACAGCAACTTCGTGGAGTAATTTATCCTGTTGCCATCGGTGCAGTGGGTAGAGGGGTAAGAGAACAGAGGATTTCCCCCGGCGAAGCACTTGGGCTGCAGATACGAACAAATAGAAGAAACTGACGGAGACCCTCTAGCACAGTAGTACTTTCACGCATTCACACAACACAACTGCCAAAAAAAAATCTCCAGCAACAGAGTCATGCATTCAGAAATTTCAGATACACTACACCATACACGGAAAGATCAATGTCATGCATACTGCAGTCCACGGGTGTCGATTCGGATATTGTTAACAATGATTCGATTGCAGGCTCGTCCAGATTACTGTCATCTTGGGGAAGGGTCATGTCATGCCCAACAGAGCCATCGTCCAAACCGTATGGGACGTTATTAGCGTTCGGACGCTCGGACGGAGGCGCGTGTCCGGATGTCCGCGTAGCTCAACCCCATATGCCTTCGGCTCTTCGCCTTGTCACGAGTGTGCTACGCCCCGGTCTCTGCATCCGTCAGTTCTTCCCCTGACCCTCTTCTCTCTCCGACTCTTCGCGCGAGTGACACACCGGGAGCTAAGATGAATGGCTGAGGACAAGCACGCCCCAAGCGCCCTCAACCTGTAGCACCCTCGTTTGCCGGCCCTCGGCACCTCCGTCCGCCGGCCCCTAGCGCCCCCGTTTATCGGCCCCCCGGCGCCGCGTGCTCTGTCCACCGGCCTCCGGCTCGTCCCCGGCCGAACAAGATAAAACACTTGCAACATGAATACAACATAATACTAAAAACAAATGAAACATTTGCAACATGCTCTTGCAACATGTGTGTGAAGCACATAAAATATAAAAAAAAACTTACAACTTGCAACATGAAATCACTTGCTGCAGCATAAGATTGAACAACTGAAATATTTGGAACATACTGTTGCAACATATGCAACATCCATATAAAAATGATTGCAACATACGTTGGGAAAAAGATGAAATATTTTGAACAAACGTTTACACACATGTCTCTAAAACACTTACAACATGGTATGCAACACGTGCAAAATCCATCGATCTACTTTTGTAACATCAAGATAAAACAATTGCAACATACATATAAAACGCCTGAAACATTTGAAACATACACATATGCAACATAGGGGGGAAGATCGGGCCGATCGATTCCGCCCTTTAGGGTCGTGGGTGCCCTTGGCTCGGTTGAGGAAGACCTGAGGCGCCACGGCACATGGACCCAGCGGCCATGGCGGGGTTAGCGGCGTGCACGACAGCAATGGGAGATAAATGGACGGATAGCGAGGGAGCAAGCGACACATGTGCCTGGGATGGGCTCACGGCACAGTCAGCGATGAGGCGCGGGTGGTAGGGCATGACGCGGCAGCCTAACGAGCGTACGGTGGGAGAAGAGGCGTTGACAAATGAGGCTAATAAGCGACCACACTGCTGCATCAAGCGCCGAACGGATAAGAACGAGCGAGTGCAAACTCATTTTTCTGTTTATACGAGAGAGATGGGCCCGCTCGCCGCGTCCGACCGTATTTGCTGATCCAAGCAAGTCTCACAATCTCCACGTTAGGAAATGGTGGCGAAATCCAAGTTGGCTTTTCAAGCTATTGCTTTTGTGGCATGAAAAGGATAATTCACTTTCTCTCGCGTGGGCTGGCCATGGGCCGGAGCCTGCTGTGCTGGGCCACGTCGCATGAGCCTCCCAAGGCCCAACTCGAGGGTAGCCGAATGGATGTCCACGGACTACGGACTCTCCCTTCTAGGACTAGGACAAAGGAGACTTACCCGGGTTTAATA